GGGGGGCAGCGGGGGAGTCCAGTTTGTTGTATTATAACCACTCAAACTTAAACCCACACTCAGTCAGAGTCAGCTCCCAGACTGTAGCGGTGAGTCCTGCAGCAGGAAGGTTGTCGCCCTGGTGGTTAAATGAATGTCAGTTACAATTAGAGGCCCAGGTTACAGCATCTAACAGAGCGGGCCACGGAGCAGCCGGGGTCAGGAGGTCACCATGTATCACCGCAGGATTACATCCACACATACACACACACACACACACACTCTCAGCCGATGACGTCTCGAAGGGCGCGGGCGGACGATGAGAACGAGCGCGACACCGGCAGACGCTCCAGGTGTGTGTGTGTGTGTGTGTGTGTGTGTGTGTGTGTGAGGCCGGGAGTGATGACAAATCACTGCCACATCTGGACAATTACTGCACCTGCGGGCGTCGAGTCTTCGTCGACAAGATTATTCTTCCTAATAATCTACATAGAGCCAGATCAAAGACAGACGGAGGAAGAGGAGTCAAAGCAATCCAGCTTTAAGTGACACGTTAGATTAACCTCAGCCCCACCTACTGGTCAGGAGGAGGGAGCGTGATGGTAGGAGTGTGGAGAGGGAGGGGTGAGGAGAACATGGCAGGTGATGGACGGAGGTGTGGAGAGACAGGAAGCTCGGGACAGGAGATCGTTAAAACACACCGTTTTATGTCTGTTCTTTTACGTGTTCGGAAAGAATCTTAAAGGAAAATTTGACCAGTTATTGGCGGCGAATTGTCGACGGCCCTCGTCACGCCGATTAATTTTCCACTGAATTGTGTAGGAGGCTTTGAAGATGAAGGCTGCATCAAGTTTAATTAGATATAATTATCCCACCTTTCTTTATCTGCAGCTCCCAGCCTCTGATGGCGTTTTTTGTAGACTGCAATTAAATGACACAGTGCCCTCTGTTGGCCGCCATGAAGCCTCTCCTGTCGGTCCGTGTTCATTGGAACTCAAAGGTCCATATGGACGAAGAAGAGGTTTCCATTTTGTCCCAATTAACTTCGATACATCTCCGGCGGAACAAAGCGCCTGAACACAGACTTTACTCCGACTGGAGCCGAGACGCAGAGTTTGTCACTACTTTATTTTTTGTGAGCACTTAAAGCCGATTCTGGCAGAAGAGGAGGTAGTGCAGGCTCGGCTGCAAGTGTAATCAAAGTGCTCGGAGTTCCAAAAGCACACGCTGTCGTGCTGAATCCTCAGCGTAAAAGGCCAGCAGTGCAGCAGAAGGAGGCTTTATTGGTGTAAACAAGTGATTGGAGGCTTTTAATCTCCCGTCTGTCACACGTGAAGCCTGTTCCATTCAAGTTGTCACAGTGATATTTTGTGAAGACTTTGTCGACTCAGAAAGTACTCGCAACTCGCAACACAATTTACTGCGTGTGTGGCTGTTGTACAGCATTTAATGTCTATAATGCAGTGGTTCTCAAACTGTGGTACACGTACCACCAGTTGTACGCGAGCGCTCTCTAGTGGTACGCGGGGGAAATTTTTCACATTTACATTTTCAATTGAATAAACATACCATGCACAACATTTAGAAAAACATATGTAGCCACTTATGTAGTCACTTATGAGATTATGAAATAGGAAGCTAACAGCTAACAGCTAATAGCTACGCTGCTATGTTCTAATGTGGTGGTCATCATGGTGGTACTCAGAGATCTTTGCTGCCATGTTCTAATGTTGGTCATCATGGTGGTACATTGGAGATCAATGTTTTCTCACGTGGTTCCGAGTATAAAAAGTTTGAGAACCGCTGTATAAAACGCATTAAAGAGATGGACTTTAGTGAAATAACATTCTGTATAAATGACCGTGTGATTTACCTGAAAATGAATCTGAAGATCAAGACGATTTTCAAGTTGACCTCAGACAAAGACCACGTCTGCTGTACAAACAACTTTTCTTCACAACTAATTTTATTCCTCTTCAACATGCTCGCAGACAGCTTGCAGCATCCTATAATAATCCTTTGTGTCCATGGCAACCGTTCTTCCTCTGCTACTGAGAAGCTCAGGTGTGCGCACACACAGACACAGGCACACGCACACACATTAACGACTCCCCTGACAACAGAGCACAGCTTGCACGGGGTGAATGAAATGAAAACCAGAAACACCCAGCAAACTGTTACATCAACCCTCCCTGGCAGAGTCCTCCCATCACATCTGCTTTTGTTATCGGAGCTCCTTCTGTCGAGTTCGACTTCCAGCGAAATCCATCTCTCCCTTGTTTTTGTCTCTCCCTCACCTTTTATGGTTATATATATATATGGATGTACAAATACATCCATATATATAATAATAATAATAATTCCACCACCCATCTAGTCATTGGGTCTATTACCGTATAACACGCTTTAATACTCATGTTGTTATTTGAACACATTGCTGGCAAAAAAAAATTCGAGCAGTTCAAGCTTGAAAAGAAACCGTTGCTACACCCAGCATGTGTTTGTGGAGGCAACTTCAGGTCAGACGCCCGGCTTCCATCAGAGCAGCCTCACTGACCGCAGGGCAGTAAGTGAGTCTACAGCCGACGAGCCGACTGACGGACCGTGGTCTGATTAATGGGGTTGAGGACAACAGCAGTTTCTAAAGTGACTCTCAACACGTTCTGCAGGTCTCTGTTAAGACGTACAGACAGAGTTATACACCCGGGTTCCATATTTGCACATTTTTGTTGACATTTTTCCATCATTAGGATTAGTCACAGGTAAACACAGGTGTGTTTAAGCTTCAGTAATATACAAAAAAAAAGTTTTTAGTTTTTTTATAATCATCACAGCAAGAAAAAAGGTTTTTAGTTTTTTTATAATCATCACAGTTCCCCTCTGATTAATTCGATTAAAAATGTTTCCCGCCACACACCATCGCAGAAGATCACTGCGGTCGCCGCGTACACGTAGCACTGAGTGACATCCAGAAGACTGATGGTGTCTGCCCAGAGTGTCGGTGTCACCCAGAATACAGAACACGCTTTGTAATGCTCCTCGTGTCTGTTTGCCGATACAACCTTGTCTCTCGGAGACTCCTTAGTGGCATAATTGCGGTTCCAACCTTCAGGAGCTCGATCGTGCCTGTCCTGCATTACATTAAAGTATTTTTTTGGCAGCTCATGGACAACACACATCGACGTCCCTTTATCCTCTTTCCTACCTTTCTGACTTTTTCCACTCACTCCATCCATCTTCCCTGGTTCTTATTTTTCTTCTCTGTTTCAGTGCAAGTAAAGTTTGCCCGCTGATCAATCTACGCCGTGGGGCGTACGATTGAAGAGCCTTCATTTCCTGAACGGAAAAAAAAAGTTATTTCATTTAGTGAACACAAACCAAAGCAGAGTGAGTCTCCACGCTGAGATCTAACGGTTTGAAATGAGACGTCTGATCAACGTGTTCAGGGAGATGAGAGGTGCCACATGTAGACAGGTGAGGTTTGAATGTGAAGTCTGAAGTGTGTGTACACACACGCCGTGGGAGGAGAGTGTGTCAGATGTGTTGATAAGACTGAGAGAAGACTGGATGAAGTGGGGGAGGTGTTAACAGCTAACTGCTAACAGATTGCAAAAATGTTGTGAAAACGTTGGCTTTAAAGACACTTGGAGGTTCATGTAAAACACAATAGTAATTATTGTCAATTATTTTAGTTTAAGTTTAAAGAAAATTCTAAATTAAAGAAGAATTTACAAGAAGAAAGAAAATCTGAAGAAAAAAATTCTAGGAAAAAAATTTGCTTAATGGAGAATAATATTATGTGAGAGATACATTAAAAAACTTATAATTTGATAAAATTTTCAAATTATGTACACATATTTAATGTATTTACATTCTGGACGTTGAATCTATATTTTAGGAAGCCAAATTAATTTTGGAAATTAAATTCACAAAAGTGCAAAATGAATTGTTAATTATATTCATTTGAAAAAATTGAAAAAATTAAACTAATGTTTTTTTAAATCCAAAAATACTGATTAGTCTTATATTAGAGGTGCAATTTTATTTTGATGATTTTTTTTTTAATGTAAATGTGTCCCAAGCTTTGTAAAAATGTTTCCCACTTGTGGTGGACCTGGTCTTGGCAGTCATTTCACCACATTAGCCAAACAACACTGGCAGCCGCGTTGGTCCAGTAGCTGTTCTCTAATAACCCACCTGAGCTCTGCTGCCTCAGCAGCCCTCCATCTGTCATCTGAAGGCCACGCTGCTCCCCCAGGTGAGGGCGTTGTGTCGGCCTGGCAGGGTCATTACAGCCGGGCCCTGCTGGCGCTGCTGCCACCTCCTCCTCCTCCAGCCTCTGTCCGCACCTCCTCCTCCTCCACCTGTTGGAAGAATCTGCTCCAAAACATAAAATGATGAAATATAAATTATCTAAAAAAAAATCTCAGGATTGGCCGTGAGCCCCCATTGACCCTCCCCCAAACCTCCCAACTTTTTTTTTCCCAAACAGCAGCTTGCATCCTTTAAACTGCAGTACTATAAACCACCAACAGGTCCATTTCCTCCTGTTAAGCACTGGTCTCACCACTTGCGAAAGAACAACTTGAAGAGAAAACGCAGACAGAGGGCAGTGTTGCTGCATCACCGTACACTTCTGGTGGCCAAGAAAAATTGTCTACACATTATCACCATCATCATCACCATCATCATCATCACATCTAACACAATAAACTGCAAAAAGGAAAAGAGACGGATGTAATTCCAGCATTTTACACCGATCGTTTGCCTGGGCGTTTATAGCGGAGTATTTATTATTCCTGTGTAAATCACACTGGAGTGAATTATTCAATGTGGATTTTCTGTTGCAGTAATTAGCACCAGTGTACAGTACCCCTGGCTTATGCTCGCCTGTCTGCGTTTGCCGTTATTGATGGTCTTAGCACAAAACGTCGCTGACCCGCTAGCAGCGCGCGCCTGCCAATTTGCATAAATCCCAGTGCAGATCTGACAGTTACTAGGCAGCGCATGTAGGGAGATGCTCTGCCCCCATGCAGAAACCAGGCCACCAAGCCAGAGACGGGGAAGCCTGCCTGCCTGCCTGCCAGAGTGACAAATGGGTCCTGAGCTCACTAACTGCCCCCTCCTGTTGGAGTGGTGTGTGTGTACAGCTCTTTGTGACGTGACATACACAGGGTAAAAGGGGCAGCAGGCGTCAAAAATACAACTAAAAAATACACACACATACACTGTACGAATATAATGTAGCGTACACTCTACAACAGGTGTCTCAAACTCCTGGGCCGAGGGCCACTTCTGGTCCATGACTTCTATGGAAACTTTGTCCTTTTCTTATTTAACAAAGTGGTCTTGCAGGTTCCACTGGGTTCATGTTGTCTGGATACAGAGCAGATTTGTTCTTCATCTTTCTGGTGTGTTTCGGCGAGTGCACGTCGTGTCTCAGTGACATCAGATCAAACATCGCTGTCATGTTGTCTGAAAACTTTTTGACCACCGAAGTTTCAGGTGCCTCGTGTTTACTACTACAGTGAGTGTTGCCTGCACTGACAATTGCAGCTGTTTACAGAGTCATTGCAACATCCAGCCTCTGTGTTACGTGATGCTACTGCACGCAACTTCTGTTCTCGGTAGTAAGTGAGGCCGCGGAGGGAGGAGGGAGGATGACGACACGATTGGACACATCCTCCTCCTCTTCGCTGTTGTTTTGGTGTAAGTTGACCAGGCGGACATGAACCATACACACACTCTCACACACACTCATGTGCTATGTCACTCCACAGTGCTTGGACAGAAATTAGCTGACCCGCTCATGACACTCATGACGGGGACACTTTCTCCCCGTCTTTCTTACGCTCCAATCAGACGATTTCAATATGAACCAGAGGCAAGTTGAAGAAAAAAAAAAAATAAAGCAAAATTGTCGTCTTCAGATGGAAACATTTACTTGTGGGCTGACAAAAGAAGGAAGAAGAAGAAAAAAACACACACACCCTGTGCTTCAAAAGCACTTTTGATGTGTTCCCTGTGTTTTTCCAGGACACTCATGCATCAGCGGTCCTGTGGAAAACACAGACTCTGAGACAATATTAGAAACAATGCCTGCAGGCGCTTCTTTGAAGCTGAGCACCAGAGCCGGTCGGCCAGTCCGCCCAGCCGTGGAGTGCTGCTCCCTCCACTAGTTTGGATTATGCTGGTCTTCAGCGGGGCTTGAGGGAATACCAAACAGCTCTGTTGTCAGCAGCAGATTCTAAAATCTTAATGTTGGAGCCTGGGCTTCAACGGAGGCCGCTCGAAAAAACCCTGCCGTCATTTGTTAAACAGAGCATGTAACACTGATCATAGAGCCGCTCAGGGAGATGAACACCGAACGTCTCCAGACGATATGAAAAAATAAAAAAAAATTAAAAAAAACAGACACAGAAGATTGACAGAGTTTGAAGTTGACAGTGAAGATCACAGCTTTCTGGTTCAACACAACAAGAGTTGAAATGTTCAATTGGACTAAATCTTTATTTACAGAAATTACTATTCTATTTCTCTACATATTCTCCATTCAAGTCTAAATACTTCTGCAAACAGTGTTTCCATCAGAGAATTCCTACTTCAGTTCTAATGTCACCAGTTCACAACCTGCGGATTCTTCTAAAATTCAGATGAACTAGAGCTGGATGAAAACCTGGTCGGTCAAATATTAGATGTTTGTTCTGATTTCAAAATTGTTACAGGCCAATCTGTATTAGAATTTTTTTGACAAACAGATGAAAACCATTAACTGAGTAATGGCTTCTTTGATTTGTCATTTTACGTTGGATTTTTGCGTCAGCTCGTGTTTCGAAGCTCGTTAGGAATAAACATCAGCGCCGGGACAGTAATCAGAGCTGCTGCTCTCAGAATAGCTGCCCTAACAGGCGTGAAATCATGCATACATCGCAGCAGCCATTAGGGATTGCATTCATAGGTGTTCCACTTCTGTGGTGAAGATACACACATACAGGGAGGGACGTCGTTTCTTTTTTAATAAATAATGAGACACTGACATGAAGTCGGTGTCACATGTTTGAGCCTGACATGATCATATTTAGTCCTGACGTTGCTCAGGACAATCTGCTTAAATACCGCCCTATCACAGACTGTACAAACTACGGCCTACAACGCAAGTATGGATTAAAGTACTCTATGTACTGAGTTGAGTTTTTTTTTTTTTGTAGTTATTTCTTTTCTTTTCAGCTCATGGTCAGTAAAAGTTCCTTGTGGAGAATGTTGTCCCAGTACCATTTGTTTCAAACCAACATGAGTATTTCCATTAGTATTCTGTCCATATCAAGTAATGTAACCCATACTTCTTTAGGGTGATTAAATAACCGACACTTATTTTGTCCATATTTCCCACCTCTAACATAACGGCAGACTAAATAACTGGTAAGTAATTAGTGAAATAAAGAAGGTCACTTGTTACTTTGTTGAAAACAGTTCAACGCTACTGTTTATTCGCCAAATCACAGTCTGCCGATATGAGATGAATATTGTTTCTGCGACGCCACATGACTCCTGCATCATTAAACCCATGAATGCCCATTTCCTGTTAACCTTCTCGGCCTGTTTTTCTCTCGGTGTCTATATTTTATAAGCACTTCTCACCGTTCATCCACTTCTCCTCCTTTTCAGGCTCTGTACAGTCGAGTGCACAACGGGGAGCAGCTTATGTTCTGAGTTCCTCTTAATTATTAACAACCTTCTCGACATGTAGTTTAATCCATCTGCTCGACCTGAGACGCTGACTTTTCAGGCTCTCTGAGCTGTCACCTCTTCCTCTGAGATCCAACACTGACCCATTTTAAGACAATGACTCGTTGGGTTCAAACCTACAGATTCACCACAAATCTTTTGATTTTAAATAAACTGTGCAGCGACAATGCATCAGTGTACTTTACACAACTATTATGTGGAAAAGGTCATTCCCCCTGGACCAGTTCACCAGTCAGTCAATACACAGACAAACAATAATTCATACCTGAAATTATACCTCCAGTCAATTTCGAGATGTTAGTCCAACCTCAGATAAACCAGTTAATCCAACAGGAAACAAGGGAACACAGACCAGACAGGAACAAAAACAGAACAAAGCACCTCACCTGGAGCACAGGAAGGTGCAGCAAACACCACCAGTACCAGATCACATGATCACACACTGACTCAACAAAGACAAAGAGTGGAGGAGAGAGGTGTGCACACCCAGGACAGCAGGTGAGTCTGATGAAGCTAATTAACCTAGAGGAGAGGCAGACAGACAGACAGACTGACTGACTGACTGACTGACTGACTGACTGACCAACAACTCAACAATTTATTGCTGGGACTTTAACTATTTCCTACTTCTGGCTCTAAACCTAAACCACAACCTGCATCAAACGCTCAGCGTGAGTCTCCTGCTCTGAGCTGATCTCCAGTGGTGGCTTCTGCAGTCACCTGCTTAGAGGCTTCAATGCTAAGAGGTTGGTCAGTAACAGAGGTCACAGGTCAGAGGTCAGATCAGGCTTTTTTAATCCAGCCCTCCAAAATTTTCCAAATTATATAATTTATTTATATCATCGTTATACTTCTGCCTTTTCCCTGCAATACCCATGTTTCCCCAATAGATGGCGTAGAACTGTGTTTCCCAAACTTTTGTTCTGGGGACCCATATTTTAAAAGTCACAAACCTTCGTGACCCAAGTCATCAGACATTACTCATAAATATCTTGCGACCCACCTGAGGGTCGCGACCCAGTCTTTGGGAAAGCATTTTAGCATTTTATCCTTTATGCATGACTTTTGTCTATCTGTCTGCACCTGACCCGGCCTCCCCCAACCCCCCACCCCGGGTCAGAGCATATTGATTATTAACAGCTATCAATAACAGGGTCAGGCTGATAAAGAAACACTGTAGATCCAGTGTTAAACACACACACACACACCACCACCACCTCTATCTGTCTGCACCTGACCCGGCCTCCCCCACCCGCTCCACCCCCCCCACCCCTGGGGCAGAGCATATTGATTATTAACAGCTATCAATCCCAAGGTCCGGCTGATAAAGAAACAATCGGTAGATCCAGTGTTAAACCCCCCCACCACCACCACCACCACCACCAACAAACAGAGGAAGAAGGCCTGGGCTCAGAGTCGGCGGCTGCTACATCCACTCCATGTTGCTTTGCTATAATGAAAAAGCAACACAGAGGATTTCTGTATGATTGTCTTTCCACCTGGATGCTTTCATCCGTCCTATCTCTCAGAGCTGCAATCATCTTGAACCAGAAAGGCGGCAGCAGAAGAAGAGCAT